CCGAAATTGTGTAAAATCAAGGTGCGACACACTCAGAAAGGATTTCTGTTACCGAGGCAGAAAATATTCTTGACGCATTTATATTTCTCACAACCTCATTTCGTATAAAAATAAGATGATATCAAAATAACATCAATAATTGTTATTCTCCTCTATCGAATTTTAAAAAATTGACTTACTATATCGAGATAAGAGTAACTTTATGTATTCTTGCGTTTAGAAGAAATCTTCCCTCCATCTTACAATGCATGAAGTTGGCCTCGCGATATTCGACAAAAGACGATACATACTATCATTTTGTTCTAGATTTTAGAATTTTTCATTAAAACACTCCTTTCTCTATAATAAATATGATCGGCGTTATATCGATCCTATTTTATGATAATAAATTATTGGATCCGGAAGTGTTTTCTATGGATGGACCGTGCGAAAGAGATCAGTGGAAAACTCTTTTATAGACGGTATTATATATTTTTTGTCGCAATATTAAGACGTTATAATACGACGTTTTGTGTTTCAACGCTCATTCTGGCCCAGAAATTGCATAAAGTCGAGGCACGACCTCGCGAAGGAGATCAGTCGTTATGTAAATGCTACGAACAATATATCAATATCTACGAATTGCAAATGTAACGGTATATCACGAGATGACAAGATATTCTTGGGAAATAATGCTTTTAGATTCTCTCAAGAGTAATTTGATGCATCGTAGTCGAATGGATTAAGTATCGGAATGGCGATCTGCAGCTCCTCCCTGTTCCTCTTTGTCTTCTTGGTCTTCTTCTTCTTCTTCTTCTTCCCCTCTGTGGAACACGATTCAAGGAACTTTAAGAGTAATAGATAGTTTTAGTTCGGTATAAACTTTCACCGGATAAGATGTCCAGGGCTTTACGATAAGACCTGCTTCGAGGTATTCGCGGTTGTCCTTAATACCCTTGGAGAGGTATTAATTCTTCAATTATCGGGATAGAATGCCCGAGGTGTAATAAACTCTCTATTCAGTTCATCAATACGAGTTTTATATTATGCTATGGGAACAATATACAATCTTTGTGCGAGTTTGAAGTATTTTGTTATTGCACCAATTGGAATCTTAGCAGAAAAAATTTCTGCAAATAACTAGAAAAAGATGACTTGAAACTGAAATTTGTAGAAATTTTTATTTTCTTCGTTGAAACGTTATTTTTTTTGTAAAAATATCTACGAAATAGTACCACAAGTTACAATGTTCTTAAATAAAGAAATTATTGCAAGTAGTATTTCATGAAAATGTACAATTTTGTAAAAATTAATACAAAACTTACTAGTTAAAAAAATTTGAGAAACAACAAAATCTTAAAGAATTAAAATATCTGCTTACTTGTAGAATATTACAAAAATTAACAAAAGTGTCCCAATTCTAGCAATTTTATGTTGATTTCTATAACATTTTTTAAATTTATGTAGAATTGCTTAGATTCTGGCAGTTATACTTTATAGTTTTGTAGAATTTTGTAGAATTATTTTCGGTAGGAAAGGGAGGGGGGACAGATTGATTAATTGTATTATTACAATTCAAACCCCATATAAAACTCGTCAATCAATAAATTTTATGTTCTGCTTTATAACAATACTGTCGTCCTAACCTAAAAAGCAGTATCTCCATTTTTGGCCATTGTAATTTACTCACTTTCTATGTTTCTTAGAGAAATATCCGTTGTCCTACAAGACTAGAAAGCAGTAAGAGTACTAGATTAACATAAAATCACTCATGCATGTTACAGTATGTCCTTGTAGGACAACGGATATCTCTCTAAATAGAAAGTGAGTTAACTACAATGGCCAAAAATGGAGACACTACTTTTTAGGTTATGACGGCGGAACACTAATAACTTGTGAAATAAATGAAGTAATTCTTAAAAACGGATGAAATTCCCACTTAATTGTACAAGTATCGCTATTTCGCCTGTATATATATCACGTTAATCGCAATAACTTTATATAAATCCATTTTTAATTGGATTTTAAATGTGTACGTGAAACTTTCTCATTTCCCCCTGACATTATTGCGGTAGTTTGCACGGAGGAAGTGCAACGGTAATTCGAATGAGCGGGGCGATAAGATGTCAAGCGTTGGAGCAAGTGGTTTGGATCAAGGCTCCTGCGAGCCATGTGTCACGCGACGTTAAGGAGTCGAGCTGCACGTGCGGCACGTCAGGCACGCGCGGCCCCTGCTGCATGCAGCCGAGTTTTAATTTCGGCTGCAAACCAAGTGGACCGAGTGGCCACCTGGTCCCCGTTACGTTTCCCCTCGCGCGTTTAATTAATGTCAATTTCATGGCGATCACGATTTACGTTTTCGTCTTCCTCGCCACCTCCTCCGCATTGTACATCATACACGGGCTAATATATCGCTTTCCGCGGCGAGGCGGAATTACGAGCGCCCTAATTTACTCGTGGAAACGCTTATAAGGCGTTTCCCGCAATTCCCGCAATTTACCAATCCCCCCCGGAGTAGCTAATCCGACCATTTTCATGACTCCCGCTACTTTTCCGCGCCCGTTCTTCCTTACCACTCCCTCCGCGTTCGTGAGACTCTTCTCAAACTACTCGCCCCACATCTTGGTATCTCGTTAGAAGAGTATGGCGAAAGTAGTGCAAAAATTTATATTAGGGTTTTATTAAAATTGCCTCGAAATAATATTTAAAGTGGCGAAAACTTGTCGTTGTTATTTCGCTTCTCCTCTTGGTTTTACTTTCGAGTTTTAAATGATAAGCGCTAGGAGGACTCGTGTATTCTCAATTTGGAAATCTCCAGGTCAGGTTTAGGTCTCTCGAAACCGACCAGGAGCCTCGCATTAAGGTTGTATTAAAATAGCGTCGAGATAATATTTAAAGTGAGGAAAACTTGTCGCTTTCATTCCGCCTCTTTACTTGGTTTCACCTTCGAGTTTTTAATGATAAGCACTGAGAGAGAACTCGCGTTTCAATTGGATATTTCTAAGTCAGGATTAGGTCTTTCGAAACTGACCAAGTACACGGAGAAAATTTTCACTTGACATTTATCCGGAAAGCTCACCCTCAGAAAGGATTTCTGTTACCGAGACAAAAAATATTCTTGACGCATTTATACTTGTCACAACCTCATTTAGTATAAAAATATGACAATCTCAAACTAAAATCGATAATACTTATTCTCCTCTATCGAATTAAAAAAGATTGACTTAGTATATTGAGACTAGAATAATTTGTATAAATGTAAGTTTGTGTATTCTTGCATTTAGAATAAATTTTTCCTCCAACGCACGAAGTTGGCACCACGATATTTGACGACCGCCGCTAGGCCGCGCATGGTGGCGGCCAAAAACTCGGAAGTAAAATTCAGTCTCGTAGGGTATAAAAGGAGGCCCGCGAGAGTGAATTCTGATCAATTCTGATCCGAGTTTTTGACCATCACCATACGCGGCCTAGCGGCGGTTGGTGTCTTGCGAGCATGTTCGTGCCTGTCTTATAAGAATAGAATAAGATTTCCTTCAGTTCGAGATGTATTACCAGATCAAGAATATTATAAGATTGCCACGATTTTACATGGAATTAGTCCTGAGAAAAATAATGGGATAGCATCAAGATCATTTTATCCTAGATTTTAGAATTTTCCATTTAAGAATAAAATATTCCTTTCTCTAGAATAAATATGATTGGCTCTATATCGATCCTATTTTATGATACAGTCAAGTATAATAGCATTGGATCTGGAAATCTTTTCTGTGGGTGCTATGTAATCGTGGGACAACGTGGCGTTTCGAAGAATTTTATGAAAATTTTTTGACACTTTACCATACAGTTTAATAATAATTACACTTACTATACATTTTACTAGTAAAATTCTCATAAAGTTCTTAAAAATGCCCATGATTACATGATTTTCGGGACAAATTAAAAAAAAATTCTCCCCGCGTATCCTCGCATTAAGACTGTATTAAAAATGCGTCGAAATAATATTTAAAATGACACAAACTTGTCGTTTTCATTTCGCCTCTTTACTCGTTTCACTTTCGAGCTTTTTAACGATAAGCTCTAACAATAAGAAGACTCGTGTACTCTCAATCTGGAAATCCCCGAGTCAGGTTTAGGGCTCTCGAAACTGACCAGGAGCCTCGCATTAAGGTTGTATTAAAATTGCGCCGAAATAATACAAACCGAGGAAAACTTGTCGCTTTCATTTCGTCTCTTTGCTTGTTTCACTTTCGAGTTTGCACTGATAAGCTCTAACAGTAAGAAGACTCGCGTATTCTCAATCTGGAAATCCCCAAGTCAGGTTTAGGTCTCTCGAAACTGACCAGGTAGCCTCGCGTTCCCATATCGCATAATGACCGAGACTTTGCGCACTCCCGCTTGATGAGGCAGAAGTGCTTTTAAATGTCAGCCACTTCGATCCGAACTGAGATTGGTCCAATTAGAATCCTCCCATAGAATTGACACGGATAGTCGTAAAGGTTAAAACGTTTCTGCGAACGCGAAAGCGGGGATACAGAAACGGTTTCGCAGAAGCGAGACAGAGAGAGAGAGAGAGAGGGGGGGGTGCGCTAGCGCAGACGGATGATAATTATTTTTATGCTAAGCCGTGCCGAAGACCAAGAGTACTCGGTGCAAACGCGCGCGTACTCGCGCGAAACGGATGGATCAATATTAACTCGCTTTGAAGGTATAAAAGTTTAAAAGCACCTCCTCTGGATTAGGAACTTAGTTTTAAGAGCACATGAGTCGGAAATTATACCGGTTTATTCTCCGACTGCGAGCGCTTGCACGTGTATAAGTGTGTATAGTTTTATGAGAAACGCCGGGAGGAAACACGCGGTGGAATATACGTCGACAATTCCGCTACTAAAATGTAAGTTGAAAAAGGTGAGACCGTACTTACCTGGCGTTTGAATTGATCTTATTTTCTCGACGGGGAGGAAATAAAGTGTTACGGGGCGACGTGCGCGCGACACGCGGCAATAATGCGACACACCATGGCGTTTACGGTTCGTATTATAATTTATTACAATTTGTACAGATTACAAATCGGTACCTATGATGCATCTTCCGTTAGACATCATAAAAGGAGCGAATATTGAGCAGAACGCCGCTCGTTACTGCGCTAACATTATTATATCAGTTATCATGTAGTTACCCCTGTATAATCTATATTTGACACTTGGTGAACACTCCGGTCACTAATAAATATCGCGTTTATAGCCCTCGTCGTGTGCTCTGTCGGAAAATGAATATCAGAACGTAACGGAAATCGTAATCGCCGTCGTCTTCCTCTCCGCTCCCTCGTCACTGAAGCATTTTTGCATTACCTTCTAATCCCGATCGCTCGCGAAGCCGATCCCATCGGGTTCGCAATAATCTCACGGTCACCTCGTCGCCCTCGAGCGGCCATTATTCCCGCCTACGTCTCAATTCTCAACGGACGCTCATCTACTTTTCATTCGTTTTCTTATTAGTGATCAACAATTTACATGAAAAAGACAACATGTTGAAAAGTAACGGTATATGAATTACACGTAGTCCCGCGTCGATCCGCCCCCAGCGTTTCACCAATTCCTCCTTTCCGTTTCATAGGCTCCTCGAGAATAAAAATCATCGTTATTCGACTATCTATTCTATACATAGTAACATATATAACTGGAAGCCCTAGACTACTAGGTTTTACATGGACGACGTAATCGGATCAGACAGTGGTAGCGATATCTTCGTGGTGGGTGCCCGCGAGCTACCTGCTAACCGTCGGCTCGCACCTCGGCAGTACATTCGTTATCGGCGGCACCGTCATCGTCAGCGATGTCATCATCAGGAACAGGGTGGCCGCCACGATAGCCATTGTTATCGCCGCGCCGCGATTACCATTCCAGGGCCAATTCTGTCCGGCGCATCCGTTCGCTCCTGCTCAACAGAAAGTAAGTCCTGCGTTAAAGAACCGCGATAACTGTCGCGAGGAGGTAATGAAATTTTATGAAACGTGTCGACACGGATCGCCAAGTAGCCGGGACCGCTCCATTCCCGAGTAATAGATACGATGTTCCGAAAGGATATGCGACAAGTTTAATTATACCGGGGTGATGGCACTGCATCGGTAAAAGTCGTCGTAGACCGGCAAAGTCTCCCTCGCTAGAACGCGGAAAATGTAAATTTGAGAACGAGCCTAAGAAAGTTTCTCCGAACTTGAGCATCTTTTGAGAAGTTTCCTTCGCAATTACGACCCTATTTACCGCCGGCGGCTAAGTAATTTGATTCGAAGTGAAACGGGCAGACAGTAATTTGAGTTGTTGATTTCGTCCGTGAGCATTAAAAATACGGCTAGATGTGAGTTAGAATGAAAACTCAACTTGGATATCCGTTTTCTCTTTCGAGCCACCCCGACGATGATCCCAGTCGCGTTGTTTTAAATAAAAAATGTATTCGTTTCCCAACAAAATATATCCAAATAATTTAAATTACATAACACTTGATTGGATGGCGCTTGTACTCGGCGTCTTTTGTTACCTGTTTTTTTTTTAAAAAAAAAGGTTATTTCTATTATTATTCACGATTCCTATTTAAACTGTGGTACAATTAGTAATTGTGTCATCCCTAAAATCGGATGACGTCGGCAGTAAATGCTGATTACGCGCTTCATGAAGTCAAGTGGAGTCTCGCGTAGGACAAGCACGCCTTCGTCATGTTACGTTCGCGATTATCCAAGATGAGATTTTTCATAAAAATTACGATTCAGAATCTCTTGTAGTATCTCGTAATTTCACGACTGGCTGGGTATCATATTATACGCTCCGTTCGTCGTTGTGAGCGTTCTTAAAACGTTAACGTATTTGAACGAAGAGTTGAAGTAAGACGAAATTGAATGTAGAAGTCGAAATTGGTTCCTGGAGCCTAGCTTACGATTGCAAAATTTAGACCGCGATTCCGCCCCGAACCGGGGGACGTATTTAATTTCGCTAACCAATCGTCGGAATAGCATTCGTTAATATCGAAAACCGATTTATCCCGACGCCCTACCGGCGGCGCTGGCGATATTTAACCGATGCTCTGCAATACCGAGACACGCACCGGTGTCTTTTTCCCCTCCCCCCGTTCCTTAAGATCTAGCGAGTGTCCGCGGGAAAAGGTTGCCGTTATTAACCGCAACGGACGCGGATGGCTCTTTTAGAAAGTCTCGCGTCGGCGGATGTCGACGGCATGAAATAAAACTTGGGTAAAACGAGGCAAGGTAAAAGGAGGAACGCGGCGAAGAATCGCATTAAAGGCGACGTCGCGGCTCCGCGATTAAATTTTCAAGAAAGAAGAAGAGCGGTGGGCACCACTGTGGAGAAAGGAGCCAAGCAAACCGGGAGGGGAAAAAGCAAATTACCGGAAGGGCCGTGCCGGTCGCCGTCGGATAACGTTGGCAGGAAGATGCAAAGAACCTCGGCAAAAAGTGCACGATAGTAATTTCTCTAGAACGAGGAAATAATTTGAACGGTCGCGCCTGTGAAGCCTGAAACGAGCGCGAACTCTAGTTATAGTCGTTGTAATTTCGCCCTTCTTTTCGCGGATCATAATTCAGCTGTACCGCCGCCTACTATCTGCACTTTTCTAACGAGATTAACAAGTTTCCGATGTTGCGTTTTAATCGGCTTTACGCATCAGTTAAAGTCGACTTTAAAAAGACTTTGCTAATCAATTTACAGATAACCGAAGCAGCGAAAGAATTACTCGAATTATAATGGAAATGAGAGGGATTTTTTACAGGATTTAAGTCAACGACTGGATTTCAAAGGTAATCTCGCAATTTAAAAAGTTTTTTACGCTTGATCAGTTACAAATCCAATTAAATTGAAATGCACATGTAATATAAACATTATTCATTGCGACATTTAATTTTATGTGCAATATAACACACGGGAGAGTCCGCTATTATGAGATATGTACATATGTTGTTATTAATGACAATTTCTCCACGTTCACATCAGACTCGAGGGTTCGAAAGTCCGCCGCTATTAAAGCGCCATTTTGTGTATATATTTTTCCACTTTAACTCTCTAATTGTGTTCATTTCGATCCGAATTGAACTTGTTTTATTAATGATCGCACGATGTATTGCGACCGCTCTCAATGATGCTTTTCCCCGAATGCTTTCGTTATCGCGGAGGAGTAACAGTCATTAATTGTTACGGGACAATTCGTCTTCGTCCCACCGCTGACATGATAAATCTACCGACACTCAGCTGCGTATTTTTACACTCGTGGCTCATCGGATTAATAAACCTGTTGGGGACAGTACCACTTCTATTTATGAGAACGAGAAAAAAAATGGCACTCGTGAGATTAATACGTCGACGTGAATAATGGAAAGTCGATTTAGCCTGCACGTATCGCTATATCAAAAGTGAGAAAGTGTCTCTAAGATGTACTTGGATTCTCGTAACAAGACGCGAAACTATAGAAGGATAGATTGAAAGAAAAAAATGACAGTTTTATATTAACGTAAATAGAGTCTCCGTTACGTCGTTAGCCGGCTCGGTATTTTACTTGGAAAAGACGTTCAAATCCCAATTGTTTTAATAGCAAAATCTGCTGGTGTAATATTGTCTCTCGTCCGTTACATTTTCGATGAGGTCAAATGTTATTGTTCCCTGAGCTTATATGGCCTTCGACAACGATTCATGTCGGCAACAGCCTGGAGGTTTGCCAGGGCCGGTAACAACATGCTATTTATTATATTTCGTTATTACGTCGGACAAGAGAACGACTCGTAGGATCCCACTTGATCTCAACCTTTTTCGTACTACTGCGAGTGACATCGCGATCTGCACTATAGGTCCCTTAATCCAATTAGATATCATTTTAGTGTGTCATTATATCAGGTTTGTAATAAAACACACGCGTAGAAAAACGTTATGTATTTCAACGCTACGTATTTCTCGTCGCAAATTTGATCATAGCAGATTTGTAATAATTAAATTTCGAGAACAAAATAGAAACTTACAACAAATTGTGGAGCGTATCTCTTGTTCTATAGTCGAGAGAAAAGAAAGAGAAGTAAAATTTTATGGTGCCAATTGAAGTTTTCGCACGTACATATTTTTACTTACACGCTTATGCATAAACAACCATGTACTGCACGATTTGTGATAAATTCGGTCTTAATTCATCATCGCAGCTGTGATTTTTCTGAATGAAATGTTGTAGCTGTGAGTGCGGTGTGAAAAAGTTTCTCGTGAAAAGACTCTGATTCCAGTGTGCGACGCGTCCGTAAATGCTTGGGCTTTACGGCTGATGGTTTACGACTCTTCGTCGTACGTGCATCGCGACTCGTATTTTCCTCATGCTTTCGCCACACGCCATCGAGCTCTCCTGCTTCGAGCAGCGATCGTTAATAAATCAGGAAATATCTAGTATAATATATATGGATGATCGAACGTAATTTTTCGGTGATACTTTGAAAACAAGTTCTTTTTTTATTTTCGATATATCTTTAAGTTGGCAGTTTATGTGCTAATATTACAAAACAATTGTTACTGCACAATTTACTTAGATCCAAGACAGATCTACGTTCGATAAAAATAATGTCACATAGAGAACGCAAGGTGATTTAGCTGTTTCTACAAAGCGCACTCGGTTCCTCTCGTTTAACTTTGCTCCTTCCTCGTGAGGACAATCTCCGAGGTATGTTATAATTTTCGGAAATGAGAGTTGTTTTAGTCAACACGACTGGCTATCGAAATCTCTTTATTGCACGGGGGGGAATTTTCTCTTAACGTTTATCCTGAAAATAGGGCAATAACAGGGCATTTCAAAGAATGAGAGTTTTTGGAAATGTTACCATACATTTCACTAGCAATTGCCCTTAGTGTATATTTTACTGGTAAAATGTATGGCGAACTTTCAAAAACTCTCATGAAGCTCTTCAAAATGCCGTGTTGTCCCACGCTAAATCTTTTTTAAACATTTATTACACGTAACTGCGTTGCTGGCAATTTTACTTCTAAATATCGAAATAATTGTTTCATTGTCGTTTTTTAGCCAAATACCATTCGGAAATTGTGTTCCTACAAACCCACTGCGTTTTGGCGAATCACTTTAATGCAATCATTGTGAAATTTCCTCCTGTTGGATGATGCAATTATTACACAATATTTGAGACATTTTCCCATCGGGGCGGTTAATATGTGAGTTGGATTATATAAGTACTTGAAAAGGATCACGACTCAAACGGTCGGAACGTTGTGTTCAATAAAAAAATTCGGTAGCCAGGCATGTCGACCACAAGAACTTTTACACCTGTTAATTATTCGCTGGCAAGGCTAAAATTATTCACAGATAAATTTAACCTTGCCAGTATAAGTTCAAAATCAATGATATGTAATTTTTAAACAACCCACACCAATGTTTCTATTTCAAAAACACATTACAACGTTTCGGTCCCGGATTTGGACCCTTCTCAATTATTCTGTAAATTATCAAGTAGTCTGTGTACAAAATTATTAGAGAAGTTAAAATTATTGTTCTTGCTACTGGTTTGTTAACATTACAACAGGTTAACGTTATTTCGAAATAGAAAAGTTCCCCCCCCCCCAGATCCGTCAGTTTTACCGTGTCTATGGTAAAAGCGTCAATTTTTACGAAAGTGTACCCAGTAGAAGTTTTCTCGCATTACCGCTGCGGACTGAACGGATATTACCTCCCTACCTTCTGAGATACAAGACGATGTCATTGCGACGTCCACGTCCGCGAATAAAGTTTTTACGAGGTCTGGCAGGGGCACGTCAGAATTACTCGCGAGGCACGTGAAATATTGAATATTACTAAACGGACGGGAGAGGTCAGCGATCGAGTATGCATAACCACAAGGAGGGACCTGCCTCCCGGGATAATTGGGAAAATTATAGAGTCGTTGCAAATTAGGC